GGTAAAAGTCGATGCAACAATAAGCCGCGTGGATACAAAAATGGTAACAAAGGAAGAAGTCACCAAGAAACCGCACAACCTGGTTGAACTCAGAAGGATGACAACAAGACTTCTTAAGGGAAGAGATTTGAAGGTATTTTCTACCATTGTGGAAAGAAGGGTAAAAAATTCAAGGAATGTTGGTCCAAGAAAAAGTTTTTCGAAAGCAATGCGGCAACCTCCAAAATAGAGATGGAGGATGAATGAGAAGCAGAGTACTGTGTGCCTTCGATGAAGATAAGCTAGGGCTCATGACAATGACGAGAAAGCATATAAGTTACTAGAGTGATTGAGTCAATGATTCAGGATGCTCAAACCATCAATTGACAATCAGAGTGGCGTAGCAGAAGTGAGGTAATATTCGAAGAAGACATTCTTACCATACTCGAACAACATTGAAGAAATTCTACCAAATACGAAGGATCAAACTGCACATATTTGGTCAAATATTGATGCGCCTAAAGATCCAAGTCATATTGATGTTACTGAGCAAGAAGTGACTCAACCAAGTGAAATCAGTGAAAAGAAAAGGCTACCACAACAACTTAGACGGTCAGAAAAAATTTGAAAGTCAAATCTTAAGTATGTCAATGTAGTTATTATAGAAAATGGAGTTAAAGAGTCAGAGACGTATGAAGAAACATCACAAAACTCGACCTGGTAAAAGGGGATGGAGGAAGAAATTATAGCCTTTGAGCAAAATCAAACCCGAAAAATATTGCCAAAACTTGTGCAATCAAAGTGGCGCAGCGGAAGTATGGTGGTCTTCGGAGAAGACAGTCTTACCAGACTCGAACAACATTGAAAAAATTCAACCATAAAACACGGAGGATCAAACTGCACACATTTGGTCAAATGTTAATGCACCTAAAGATCCAAGTGATACTGATGCTGGTGAGCAAGAAGTGACTCAATCAAGTAAACTCGGTGAAAAGGAAATGTCACCTCCACAACTTAGACGGTCAGAAAGAATCTAAAAGTCGAATCTTAATTATGTCAATGCATGTATTATAGAAAACTGAGTTAAAGAGTCAGAGACGTATGAAAAAATATCACAAAAATCGGCTTGCAAAATGGGATGGAGAAAGAAATTATAGTCCTGAATAAAAATCAAACCTGAAAACTAGTGTCAAACTTGGAGATGTCAAATCCATCTTTTACAAGAGAGTTTATAAAATAAAGTCTCCTATATGAATCAATCAAGAGATACAAGGCTCAACCTATAGCTCGAAGGTTCTCTCAATAATATTGACTACGCTATGATGAAACGTTTAGTCTAGTTGCGAAGATCACTCCCGTACGAGTCCAACTAGCGTCCGCAAGAAATAATAATTAGAAATTACGGCAAATGGATGTGAAGAATGCTTTCTTGAACGAAGAGTTGGACTGGAAGATCTACATGAACCTAACAAAGGGTTTTAAGAATATAATAGGTATCATGAGTCGGTCATGCAAAGTCCAAAGAAGTCTCATTTGGATGCGATTCGATGATTCTAAGATATGTCAAAGGTACAATTGACTACAATCTTTTGTACAAAAGAAGCAAATATTGCAAGCTAGTTGGATACTATGAAGCTAACTATGATGGATACCACGATACTCCAAGATCAACCACTGAATATGTGTTCAAGCTAAATTCGGGAACAATTTTTTGGTGCAACAAAGGATAACTAACATCACCATTATCAACTACAAAAACAGATTACAGAATAACGACTGAAGCAGCTTGAGAAAGTGCGTGGCTAAAACTCTTAATGAAGGATTTGCACCAGAAAGTTTACCATCCAATACCACTTCATTGTAACAACCAATTTGAAGCTCAACTACTAGACAATTCAATGTGTAATACTAGAACAAAGCATGTGAAGATGCACTACCATTTTATTAGAGAGAAAGTCTTGAACTAAGAAGATGACCAAGTGGCAGACTTGTTTACAAAAAGATTGAATACCTATAAATATGAGGGTTTTCACTGTAAACTCAATGTGGTACGGTGAATGAGGACTAGTGCTAAGTGGGAGTGTTAAAATATCATCACTAGCCGGTCACACCCAATAATTGTATGAGTCCATTGTCTATATATTTTAGGAAAATGATTTATGTATTTCAAGAACAAAGATTTACACGTATCTTAAGAACAAAGATATCTAGTATTTTACGGATAAATGTTTAGATATTTTAAGAAAAAATCGTCTGGCCCCATTTTTCATCCCAAACAATCACAAAAAAAAAAAAGCAAAGTAGAGTAATTTCTACGTATTGTCAGTGTGAAAAGGTTGTGTACGTGTACCAAATGGTTGATCTTATCGAAGAATCAACGAAGTTTTGAAGAAAAATGAAATAAATAAACGTCCATTCATATATTATTTTATCATTTTTTAGTTTAATAATATGAATATGTGAATCGAATCTTTCATCTTTCACGAACATACATATTAGTAGTAGTTGTTAATAAAAACTTTAAATTAAATTTTTTTTTTTTAGTTTAACAAGTGAATATGATCGCTCAGACCTTTTAATTGAGATATATGTCATGATAAGTTAACCGCTACTTATAAATGATAATTAATTTGCTTTTAAAAACAACTATAATTAAGATAATAAGAATATAGAGTCTATTTTGTAGCTAATAGCATAATTAATTGTAATTAAGTTGAATTAAATATCATTAATTTTTTTAGTTTAATAATAGTATGGATAGGAGATATGGGCCCATGCCGGGATAGAACCTAGATTAATTGATGTTCGGATGTCCCAATATTATGAACGACATATGGGCCCATTCTCGATGGCGTGATCGAGTGAGTTGCGATAGTCGACAACACCCCATGACTTGGATGGTGTCAAGACATATGAGTCATGTTAATTGAGAACCAAGATGAGACGATGGGATACAACATTGCATTAAGAGATCTTGACCCGGATTAGAGACAAGTGTTAAGAAACATATCCGAAATTATATTTATCATTCATAACAATGTATGAGAGCGATGAATATAATAAGGATGTGTTAAATAAACCTCCGAAGTTTTGAAGCTGAATTTGGTTGATTCCGCCATGAAGGAAATCTTGATATTTAAAAACACCAAGATCAGTGTTCCCCTTGAATCACTTGATGCATAGAGTAGCTCATGCACATAAACCTATCAAGTGATTCAAGGGGAACACCGATCTACGTATTCTTAAATATCAAAATTTCCTTCATGGCGGAATCAGCCAAACCCAGCTTCAAAAGTTCAGATGTTTATTTAATACATCTTTATTATATTCATCACTCCCATGTTAAAAATGATGAATGTAATAAGAATGTGTTAAATCAAACATCCGAAATTTTAAAATACGAACATCTTGAGCTATGTCCGATTTTCATTAATGTTCACAACGTATAAATAGAATACAAACTACAAACTAAATAAAAAAAATAAGAGAAAATATTTTACTAACAAAGTCGGAAGATAAAATAAAATATATCAAATATAAAATCCTAATTGATTACGATTATATAAAATATATTCCAATAACAAAGTCGAACGGAATGACTTGGCCTAGTGTAGAGGCAAGTCGGTTGTATCGTAGACGATTGAACATGTACGCGCAGCTAGCATGTGTAGCTGAACAAGTTAGGATTTCGAACAAGTGATGTTTGGTTGGCAAAGACAAACCTCAGCTAAGGTCCGATAAAGCCACAAAGTCGGACAAAAAAATGAATAATAGAACTTGGGTTTCCTTCCAAGCTTGTCGTGAGTGTGTTAAGATCACAACGCTGCACGGTTGAAAAAGTATAATCGAGATCAAACGATCAATCTTTTAAACAGTATCTACAAAGTTATTGCTCGGATAGACGAGTATTGCATAAAATAGATTATTCTCTCATTGTTCAATGTTTTTCAAAAATTTATAATATGTTTTGAATTTTAGTTTAATCCTCGTGTACCTTTCTCCAATCAAACCCATATTAGAAAGAATAAATCAAAAAGCAAAATGATGGTGTAATGACCAAATTAAATGCATCATTAATGAAGGTAAAAATTCAAATTTAGAACTAACTTCTTAAAACCTCATCAATCCACAATCTCTTTAATGTCCATAAACTAACACTTCTCTAACACAAACCCAATTAAATGGAAAGCTATTTTAGAAACGGTTAAACTTTAGAGGCCTATTTATGCGTCACGACCTAACTTAACCTTTACCTGAATGTGTAAGGCACTTCTCTATCAAAATTAGAAATGTGTACACATACATTACAACAACAAGAAAAATTAATTGATTTCTTTTCAAAATGGGGTAACTTGCTCACGAACTAACTTAAATTAGGATCGCCTATCTTGACCTTGACCCTGACCGTAACTCGCATATAAAGCCACTATCCACTCACCCATATGTTGTTGATCATTTCCAAAATTATGGACTACTGTAATGACGTAAAACAACATTCTGATCCTCCACCGAAGGTAGAATGACGTGGATCGTACCCTTTTTGTGACTTTAGTTGTTAATTACTCAAGTACACAACGTGTAATTACCACAAAATTATTTTTGACCGTAATGCAAAAAAAACAAAATAGGTCCAACACTTTTCTAACTTCCAACACAAATTCTCAATAGAATTTTCTAAGGGGAATTCCAAACTTTATGATTTTGAAACTTAAATGAAGAACATCTCATCCATCATTTATAAAATTTAATCATCTTTAATCTAATTTACGCAAATTAAATAATAAACAACCATTCAATTAGTTCAATTAAATCCCAATTAAAGTTTAAATTAATCCAATTTAATTCTTTTTTTTTTTGTTCTTGAAAGATTCAAACCTCCTACTTTCTGATCTAAGATATATAGCTTTAACTAGTTGTGTATCCTCGAGTTTAGTAATTACAAGAATTTAAAATAGTTATGTTGAGACTTAAAATGCAATATAAATACATATTTATTAGGTAGAGAACAAGAACAAGGCAGTGCTATTAGAACCAATGTACACAGCAAAGCCTCGAAGATCATCGGGGAAGGAAGAATGGGCTAAGATAGACAAACAAAAGGCCATTTTTATTTTTCTTATGCATGTGCTTTGTATTTTTGCACCATTTCAAGTCAATTCGAGAGTGCTTCGGATTGCTTTGGCATTACATTTTATCACCGGTTTCTTCGGCATAACTCTCTCGTATCATAGAAATCTTTCCCACCGGAGTTTCAAGCTTCCGAAATGGCTCGAGTATTTGTTTGCTTTATGTGGAGCTCACACACTCCTGGTAAATTAAATGATAGATTCTTAAGCATGGTAAAATATTTATTATGTTTTGAAGTTTTTCGTTGTTTTTTATAGGGTGATCCGATCAATTGGGTAAGTATGCACAGGTATCACCACCAGGTAGCCGACACCGAAAAAGATCCCCAACGCACTCCTCGAAGGTTCTTGTGGCTTTCTAATTACTTTGCTTCAACTAAAAGAGTTGGTCCAAGGTACTTATTTATTCTTGAAGGGATAGAAAAGAACATATTTTTAATGATTAGGGAGTTTGTGAAACGAGATAATGTTGGCGACTTGGAGAATCAAAGCTTCTACAAGTTTATTCACAAAACATATCTTCTTCATCCAATTGGTCTTGCAATCTTGTTGTATGTTGTTGGAGGAATGCCTTTTCTTGTATGGGGAATGGTACGTATAGAAACGCTCTCATTTCATCGTGAAATTTCGAAATCTTATATTTTTATCAATGAATTTCAAGTTCAGCTTTTATAGTCCAATAGGCACTTGAATTTTAAAAAGGGTCAAATAGTTTATGTCTAATAAACTTATAAACTTTTGAAACACTTATTAAGTTCGTACACTTTAAAGTTTTTGTCTATAAGATCGGTGAGGTTTCACATCGATTGGGAAGGAGAACAAAACATTCTTTGTAAGGGTATGGAAACCTCTCTCTAGCAGACGCATTTTAAAAATCTTGAGGGGAAATACGAAGGAGAAAACCCAAAGAGGGCAATATCTATTAGCGGTGGACTTGGGTTGTTACAAATGGTATCGGGGTGGATTGTGAGATCCCACATCCTAGCATACGTGTTTTAAAAACCCGGTTGTTACAAATGGTATTAGGGTTGATTGTGAGATCCTACACCCTAGCAGACACGCTTTAAAAACTTTGGGCGAAAGCTCGAAAGGGAAAGTTTAAAGAGGACAATATCTGCTAATGGTAGGCTTGGGCTGTTACAAGTTGTTTATTGTGAGATCCCACACCCTAGCAAACACATTTTAAAAATCTTGGGAGAAGCTCAAAAGACAAAGTCCAAAGATAACAATATCTGCTGCTGATGGTGGGCTGTTACAAGTTCTTTATTGTGAGATCCCATAGTCTATCGGACACGTTTTAAAAACCTTGGAGGAAGCTCGAAACCGAAAACCCTAAAAAGACAACATCTGTTGCCGATGGGCTTAGGCTGTTACAAGATCATTATTTGTATTTTAATAAAGCACATTTAATTTTTTTATCAAACCGATCTCTAAACTTTATATTTTGTATCTAACATATGTGTGAATTTAAATAATAAATATCAAATATGTTAAGAACTTATAAGATACAAAATTAAACACATAATTTTATTTGATCATGTAGGGTGTGCGAACCGTACTAGTGTTACATCTATCATTAATGGTAAACACAATATGCCATAGATTCGGAAAACGACAATGGAAGACAAATGATTCGTCCAGAAACAACGGGTAAGTAGGCATTATTGAATTAGTAAGCTTTGAAATATTTTAACCTTTCTTTTGTAGTAGAAATTTACCAAACACGAACTCAACTTGTTCTTAAACAAAGCATTAGGGTTTTGGTATGTACAATAATTGATTCTTGTTGTGTTGTAGGTTGATGAGTTTGATTAGCTTTGGAGAAGGTTGGCATAATAACCACCATGCCTTTCCTTACTCAGCTAGGCATGGATTTGAATGGTGGCAGGTCGACACTAGTTGGTACGCTATTAGGTTTCTTCAAGCCATTGGTGTTGCCACTGATGTCAAATTGCCTCCCCCGCAAAGCCGCAGAACCAAAAGCTTGATCATGGACAACCAGGTGCTGCAGCACTAAATAAGCTTCTATGTATCTATCTTGAAACATACGGAATAAAATTATGATTGTATATGAACTACTAGTTTGTATTGGCCATGTAATCCAACTTTATGATATTAATATCGATATGGGCAACTCTAATTTATGTATAAAGGGACAAATATTGAAACTTTATTTTAGAAATTTAAAGTAGGATAGCATAACATCGCACTCTCGATCAAGATGAACATAAAGAACCAGAGAGAGAAAATTCAAGGAGGAATATTGGCTTTTAAGATCAATTCAGGTATGTAGAATAAGAAACAAGAGAGACTTTGATGAATTATGGTTGAGAGAGAATACAGTGACTTCGATGAATTCAGGTCGAGAGAGAGAATACAGAGACTTCGATGAATTTAGGTCGAGAGAGAGAATACAGAGACTTCGATGAATTCAGGTTGAGAGAGAGAATATAGAGATTTCGATGAATTCAGGTCGAGAGAGAGAATACAGAGACTTCAATAAATTCAGGTCGAGAGAGAGAATACAAAGACTTCGATGAATTCAGGTCGAGAGAAAGAATACAGAGACTTCAATGAATTCAGGTCGAAAGAAAATAAGAAACAAGAGAGAATACAGAGAATGAAGAAACAAGAGAGAATAGAGAATACAGAAAATGAACAAACAAGAGAGAATACAGAGAATGAATAAACAAGAAAGAATACAGAGAACGAAGAAACACATCATAGTGTTTGTGTGTACTAAATATAGTTTTAGAGATTTACGTGTTGAACACAACTCTCTGTGGGAAACACTCGCACACTTTATTAAGACCAATCGAGAAGAGATTTACAAAACACTTTGTAGAAACTACTACTCTGTATTGTTTGGGATTTCTTGGGATGATGAACTAAGTAGTAGGTGGAGGAGTATTTATACTCGGAAGTCAATCTATTCCTAACATTTCTCAGTGTTTTTCCTAAAATACCTAGATCATTTTCCTAACTTCATTCCTGAAATCCCTAAATCATTTTCTACATTTATTCCTAAAATCCTAAATCATAAATATAATTACTCATACAATGGCTGGGCTTGACCCTATTGGGTAAGTGATGATATTTTAACACTCCCCCTCAACACTAGTCCTAATTCACTGCACCATGTTGAGCTGACAGCGAAAACTCTCATGTTTGCCAGTATTCAGCCATTTTGTAAACAAGTCTGCCACTTGATCATCTGTCTTGATCTGCTGCATCTCAATTTCTTCCTTCAAGACTCTCTCTAATGAAATGGGAGTGTACCTGCACATCCTTTGTTCTAGCATGAAACACTAAATTTTCTGCTAGGCGAATCGCAGATTGATTGTTGCAATGAAGTGGTATTGGATACTCAATTTCCTGGTGCCAATCTTCCATCAAAACTTTTAACCGTGTATTTTCCTAAGCTTCTCCAGTTGCTACTCTGTACTCTGCTTCTCTAGTTGACAATGATACTGTTGGTTGTCTTTTGTTACACCAAAAAATTGTTCTTGAACTGAGCTTGAACACATACCCAGTGATTGATCTTCGGGTATCGTGGTCTCCTGCATAGTCGACATCACTATATCCAGCTAGCTTCCAGTCTTCGCTTCTTTTGTATAAACGATCGTAATTGATTGTGCCTTTGACATATCTCAAGGTCCATCGAGCCGCATCCAAATGAGGCTTCTTTGGATTTTGCATATATTGATCAATGACTCCAACTTCATTTTTGAATTTCTTCGGTTGGTCCATGTAGAACTCTCTGTTTAACTCTCCATGCAAGAGAGCATTATTCATATCCATCTGCCATAATTTTCAATCTTTATTTACCGCAAGTACTGGAGGAACTTATACGATAATGATCTTTGCCACTGGACTAAACGTTTCATCATAGTCTAGTCCATATTGTTGACAAAATCCTTGAGCTATGGGTTGAGTATTGTATCTTTCGATTGATCCATCTGAGAGACACATTATTTCGTAAGCCCACTTGCAAGAGATGAGTTTGGTATCTCTTAGTCTTGGCACTAATTTTCAAGTTTGATTCTGTTCCAGGGCTATAATTTCTTCCTCCATCGCTTTCTGCCAAGCTGAGTTTTGTGATGCTTCTTCATATGTCTCCGGCTCATTAACTTCGTCTTCTACTGCGTTGGCATACTCTGGATTTGGCTTTAGGATTATTTCTAAATGTATGAGTTGTTGAGGTGTCATTTCATTTTCACTAGGTTCGCTTTGTTGAGTCACTTCTTGCTCACAAACACTAGTGTCACTTGAATCTTTAGGCACATCAGCACTTGAGCAAATGTGTACAGTTTGGTCCCCCATGTTCTGTCGAAGAATTTCTTCAATTTGTTCAAGGCCTGGTAATACTTCCTTCTCATCATATTGCCACAAAGTGCATCAGACATATTGCCACAAAGTGCATCAAACATATCAAGTATGACATTCATCAAAATATATATATATATATATATATACACTGAGCACATCATCAGATATCATAACCCACATATCATCATAACTCATACATCATCATAAGTCATACATCATACATCATCATAAGTCATATACCGCATCGTACAACATAGTTCATACATCATCATAACTCATACAATTTTTAGCCTATCCTATAGTAAGGCCACTTACCTGGTTGGCCATAGCCGAAGTATTCCCTAATTTAATTAACGTAAGCTCCCGTTCTTCGAGAGCTGCTCCAAAGGTTGCTAAGGTTTGATTCTTATCGCATCGTTCGTCACCTTTTGTTAGTATTTCACATTTTAATTAATAATCCGACTAACAGTATAAAATACGGCTCTAAACGGCCTCAATAAAAATCGAGTTCCATGTTTTCATTGCTTCTACATTATATAGAATAATAAAACTTAAACTTAAATTAAAGATATATCAATATTATTAATATTTCAAGCGGCTTAGATAGTTCAACATTTAATGTTATATCCTATAGATACAAATATAATAATTTCTCATATCTTTCATTCTCATTCTCTAACTTTATGTTATATTTTAATTCTGTTTACCGTGCCACCTAAACAGTACTTTCCATTTTCAAACGATTCTAATTTTCTTTTCTTTCCTAAAATTTCTCTTTTGTTTTTTTTTTTTTTTTTTTT